AGTAGTGAGGGATGCAGTAGGGGCAAAGGTGGATCGAACATCGATGCCCAAGTCTTTGTTTGAAACCCCGTACTACAAAGCGAGCCTCGAGTTTTTCTACAGAGCCGTCAGCTTTTCTTTTAATGTTGAATACAAAACGAGTGCCGATCGAGTGTTTGGAAGCCTTCTCTTCAACATCGAATGTGTCGATTTGTTCGAGTTGATTCCATTCAGATAAGCAAGCTGATTTCCACTGAGCTGCATTGGGTGATGAGAGAGCATGGCGGAGAGAAGTAGGGATTTCCGCATCTGAAATCGCCTGGATGTTGTCGATTTGAAGGTCTTGGTCTTCACATATTTCTTTTGTTGGTTCTTTGCCGAGGTGAAGTATTCTACGGATGCAAGGAGCGTCAGGGAACTTTTTGGGAGTAGGGATCAGTGGTTTGTGCTGGAAATCTAGGACATCTGCACACTCTGAGTTGAATATCTTCTTGGTTTCAGGATCCCAGAAGAACCAACCACGTTCATCGTCCTGGTAATCTACCAGATAGCCAGTCCATCCTCGTTGATCGAGTTTGCGGCGGCGTTCCTTTGGGATGTGAACAGTCACCCTGGCACCAAAAGGGTAAAAAGACATTGTGTTTGGTTGACGGTTGGACCATAGTTCAAGTGGCCTCGTTTTGCATCTGACATTAGACAGGCGGTTTGTGAGGAAGCACGCGCATTTATACGCGTATGACCAGAGGGAAGATGGGAGGTGTGAATGTGTGAGGGTGGTGCGAGCGATGTCGCCAAGGGTTCGGTTGAGGCGTTCAGCCTCACCGTTTTGTTCTGGAGTGTACGGGGAAGTGAATATGATTTTGCAGCCGATAGAATCTAGGTAGTTGTGCAGCGATTTCGAAGTGTATTCTTTGGCATTGTCACAACGGATGAACTTGGGTGATGATTGAAAGTGGGAAGTGATGCGTTTGACGAGGGAAATTAGTATTCCAGGAACTCCGGATCGTGATTTCATTGGGAATACGAATGAATAGGTGGTCACATGGTCTCTGATGGTGAGAAGGAAACGATTTCCCTTCGCGTCGGGGTCTAGTGGGCCGAGAACATCCGTTACTAAGAGATCGAGGCGTTTGTCTTTAGGAATGACTTTGGGCAGCAAATGGCGTCGGCGTTCACTTTTCAATGTTTTGCAAGATTCACAGATGAAAGGGGTCCAGCGCTTGATGTTGAAATTGGGAACAAATTGTTTAAGGAATTCTTTCACAACAGAGTCGGAGACGTGTCCAAGACGACAATGCCAGTCATACAAAGGGGAAGATAGCTGAGGTGGGGCAGTGATGGAAGCAGACTTGACTGAGTAGGGTGTGCGGCGCCAAGATGTAGGAAAAATGATCCAAGACCGATTGATGTATTTAGCAATGGTAGAAATAAATGAGGATGTTAAAAGAATGTCGTTGTTCGGGAGGAATGAAGGTTTGAAGCCGGAGTTGATCAGCTGTCCAAGGCTAAGAAGTGTTCCCGTCATGTCCGGGCTGTACAGTACCCGCGGAATCATTAGGGAACCATCCCCATTGATTATCCTCAGGTGACCACTGTGCGTTGCCATCATGGAACCATCAGAGGAAGCTAGATTCAGTTTGATAGGCGGACGGAGGCTGGATAAGTTAGAAAATAGATGGAAAGAGCCGCTCACGTGGTGGGTCGCCCCAGAGTCCAAAACCGTGCCTGCGCCATTGGCACCCGTCGCATCCGCAGCCACGGCCGATCTAACTGCCGCATTAGAGGTCGAGCCAGTAGCAGGGTCGTTCGGAGGTGCCGCTTGACGGGCAAAACCGGAAGCGGGGCGACCAGGTGTGGAGGTGTCGGGAGGTGGCAAATTGGCATCTCTGCGGAGCGTCGGGCATGACAATCTCCAGTGTCCCGACTGATGAAAAACAGGATGAATTACTGTGACTAGAACCAGAGCTGAAAGATCAAGAAACAAGTTAGAAAAGAAGAAAATAACAATGAGATCGATGAAGACAGAAAGGATTCAAGAAGCATACCACGAGCGGAATAAACCGGAAAGAAAATAGACAAGCTGAAGTAGAGAAGATCAAACAGAGAGAGATAGTAGACACTGAAGAAGAAAAGGAAGAGAAGGTAAGCGCGATGATTCTTTTAGATGAATGAGAGCAGAAGTGAGTGAAGAGAGTGTTGCTGGTTTTCTCACCAAATTGGTAATAACCAATTGAAGGTGTCAATGATTGAAGTTGGAGAGTTGAGAAGGTAAGTTGAGGATTGTAGATGATAGTCGATGTGGTATCGGGATCGGTGAGAGTGAAGGATGAGAGAGAATAGAGAGAGAAGGAAGAGAATGGAAGAGGAGATGAATCGGAGTCGGATGGGAAAGGATAGACGAGAGTGGGCGGAGATTGTTGAGTGAAGAATGTTGAAGAGGATTGTGTGGGAGTGAGTGGAGCTGAGTTGAGTATCGGGAGCGGCAGCGGTGAGGTTGAGATGAGTTTGTGAAGTTTGTTGGAAAGGTGAGAGAAGCTGCTGAGTGAA